TCTCTCATTCTCTCTCTCTGAAATAAATAAATAAAATCTTTAAAAATAAATAAATAAATAAATAAATAAATAAAATGTCTGGTCAGCTCTCTGCTTCAACTCATCTAGGAACTTTAAACAGCAGCATTTGGGACTTTTCAAACAGCATTCAGCAAAGCAAGTACCTTTTATTGATGCCCCAATAAAAGCTCTACCTTAAGCAGCAATTAAGAGGTTCAAGACAGGCCAGCACTCTCTCTCTCAAGCTGGGAGTTCCTGAACTGAAAGGTCTCAGGCTCCACACACCCAGCTGATCAGAGAGCCTCCGCCTCAGCTATGCTCATACTTACACTAACAATAGCTCAACTGGATAGCACTCCCACGTACATGGACTAAGCTCCAAGAAAATACACGTAGATTCTGATACTGTAGCTGACATTTTATTTCAAATGCATGGGTTTTTTAATGTTAAACATGTATGAGGGGAGGCAATATTTAATGCCTCTCAGCTTGCCTCTTTACTCACCCTTTCCTAGCTACCATCTAGAAGGAGACAAGGTTGCTACCGAGATTGGTTAGACAGCAGGACAGGGACCAGAGACCACACCGTGTTACCACACTGTGTTCACCAGTGGGCAGGAGCTACTGACTTGAGAGAAGCTGGACATGCATGTGTTTTCTCTTTTTAACATTCTCTATGTGGTGAGGTAGGTAACAGATCAGGGTGTAACTCTTTACAGCAGGCCTGACCACCTCTCTCTATGCCCAGTCCTGCCAGAGCATGCCAGTTACTGACTATAATTACTGCAGCATTTGGTACACCAGAAGATGGTACTATTCCAAGATTCAGATCTGGGCTCAGTGAAGGCTTTCTCTGGCCTTAAGCCTAAACCAGACACTACTTCTGTTCTCCTACATTGGGGAATTGGGCTCTATACCACATAATGATAAAGAGATGCCACGATTATTTCCCTATTATTCCTTATGTGTATTTTATCAAAAACCCTGTGAGGAGGAGAAGTGAGTAGCAGACATGATTTAGGTATTCCTGGGACCCTTTATTTTCCTAGGGGAAAAATATCTCTAATTCTAAAGTGTATACAATCAGGAAAGTATATAACAAATGGAGTATCGCTGACAATGAATACTGAATGAGAGACATATAATTACATTACCAAATGTTTAGAAAATTGAAAGGATTAGAAGAATCAATATTAAGGTTTTTGAGATACTGGTACATTACCTGGATGAAACCTGGGTTGGGGGTTCTTAATTTCTTTTTTTCCAACTAACATCCTACACTGTTTCCCCTAACAGAAAAGATAATTCAAGAGACACTAAGAGAGGGATACTTTCAGAGTAAGATGGTGACATCTTGGTACTGCAGGGAAGGGTCCTGCCTCCTTCATCAAAAGATGCCTAAAAGCTCAGCAATGAGTGGTATCAGCTAAACCAGTAATTGAAAATTCTGCATTGTCAGGTCCTGCTCTGCATTTCTCATTTATATCTCATCTTCCCATTAACCTGCTTAAGGTCTCACCAGCACCAAAGGCTACAGTATCGTCCACCAGTAGATGGTCAACCAGGTCAGGCTTGAGGATGAACTGGCTGGGGACTCCAGATCTCAACTGCCTATGCTCAAGACTAAGGTATAGCTAATATAAATAAATAAGAGAACAAGAAATAACAGTGGCTATTTTACTGCACTCACTAGGATCATTACTTTTCTAGAGACACCCTTCAACCTTCTAAGGTTAATGTCTTTTAGCTGCTACATTTTCTCATTGGTAGAAACTGGAGGGAAGAGACTAAATGTGGAACTACAGTGGAGACTGGAGAAATTTTTTGTAGTATTTCTTTCCTATTCAGTTTCTACTAAACTCGGCAAAAACATCACAAACTTCCATCTACTACAAACTTGGTGATCCCCTGACAACTGGAATGCATTTCAGACTACAATGGCTTCAATGATAAAAGCAAGATAGGAGGCGCAGTCAAAAGAAGACATAATAGAAACAGCAAATCGGAAAAGTAGGTGGCATAACTTCATTTTCAATTACCTGCATCAATGTTTGGAAACAGAACTAGGGTCCGCTTGTTAAATGAGATAAGCGCATCCAATGTTAATTCAAACATTTTTATGGAATGCTTAATGTCAGTGGTCACAGGGTGCTGTAGCGCAACAATGTAATCTTTAGATTTTACATCATCACCTGTTTAAAGAAAATCAAACCACACTGCTTCATTAGTTAAGAATTTTAAAGAGGAAGAAGCAAATTCTAAAAAGCAAGACCCCAAAGTCTGTGCTTAAAAATTCTAAGGACAAAACAGTTTGCCACATTCCAGGCAGAGTATCTGAATACAGGATCAAACAATAAGAACTCACAGGAACAAGTCCAGGAATCTAGCAAAGTTAACATTTTACAAAGGCGCTTGCTACCACAAACAAAAATATATAACTTTAAGCAGTAGTCACAAGAATCTGTTGCTTTAAAATCCAAAATATTTAAAAGCATTAGAAAAATGTAAATCTTCCCCATTTCTAACCAGTGTTTCTAATGAATTATCAACAATATTAATGAATTGATGAAGCTCAAGATTACTTTAATGCATAGCCAACATAAATAAGAGAACAAGAAAAACCAGTAATGGCTATTTCCCTGTAGTGCGTAGGATCATTTCCTTCCTAGAGACACCCTCCCACCTTCTAAGGTTTATGTCTCTTGGCTACTGCATTTTCTCATTGGTGGGAACTGGAAGGAAGAGACCAAACAGGAAACCTCTTGCTCCTCAATGTGCAACTTCTGACGTCACTCTGCTTTGTCTCACTCAGCCCTTCTACACAACCCTAAAGGTATCATCATTTTGTTTCATGTTGTAAAGTTCTCTATTTACTGTGGTATTTCTTTCATTATTAGGAATTTAACAAGTCTTTTTAACTTTTTTTTTTTTTTAGAGGGGGAGGGGGAGGGGCAGAGGGAGAGCGAGAGAGAATCTTAAGCAGACTCCATGCCCAGCACAGAGCCAGACGCAGGGCCCAACCTCACGACCCTGAGATCATGACTGGAGCTGAAATCAAGAGTCAGAAGTTTAACTAACAGGGCTACCCAGGTGCCCCTTTTTAACTTTGCTACTATTTTTACTATGACTGTTATTTATTCATGTTCTGATGACGCAGATGCATGCTCTGAGTGGCCTACCCAATCCTATTCTTCCTATGAGCAGAGTGATGCCATCAGAAGTTGCAGGTGGAGAAGCAGTTACAGGTTTTGCACAAAACATACTGGCAGGGGTGGGTGGCTTAGACTCATTGTCTTTTCTTTTCCAATGGCTTAAAAAAAAAAAATCTACTTTTTGCTATTTTGTCATCCTTCTTTTCATAAAGAAACTGCTGAAATGGTTCCAAGTAGAACCTTAAGCCCCACAAGTACAATCTTGCCACATTTTACTTTATAAGGGTTATTTGCTATTCATTACAAGCTTTTCAGAAATACTAAGTTTTTCAGAATCCATCTAGAGCAAACAGTATAATCAGAATGCAAGAGTGTATACTTAGAAACATGCAAAAAGGAGGGGCGCTGGGGTGACTTAGTCGGTTAAGCATCTGCCTTCGGCTCAGGTCATGATCCCAGGGTCCTGGGATCGAGCCCTGCATCGGGCTCTCTGCTCAGCAGGAGCCTGCTTCTCCCTCTCCCTCTGGCCCTCCCCTGGCTCATCTTCTCTCTCTCAAATAAATAAAATCTAAAAAAAAAAGCATACAAAAAGGAGAGCCTGAAAAGACAGAATTTATTCCATTGGCATTATCTAGACAGGCTCCTTGATAACTAATATCTGTCCAACGGTAAGAAATACATAGATTGGATTAACTCATTAGTAGGAAAGCCCTATTCCTTTCCTGTTCTAATGTGATCTAAATTAAAAATATACACAATCACAGGGCACCTGGGTGGCTCAGTCAGTTGAGCTCTTGGTTTTGTCTCAGGGTCATGATCTCATGGGTTTGGGGTTCGAGCCCCATGGTGGGCTCTGCACCCAGCAGGGAGTCTGCTTGAAGATTCTCTCCCTCTGCCCCTCCCCCCACTTGCTAGAAATATATATATACACAATCACTAAATCAATTTTTTTTAAGTAGGCTCCACACCCAGTGTGGAGCCCAACACAGGGCTTGAATTCATGACCCTGAGATCAAGACCTGAGCTGAGATCAAGAGTCAGGGGCTTAACCGACTGAGCCACCCAGGTGCCCCACACTAAATCAATTTTCTATTCATTAATTTCATTATACTATAGATCTACCTCTTAAAAAAGCAGAGTCCCAAATGTCTAAGATTGGTCTTGATTTGCCCTCTAGATAGTACTCTCACTATAAATTAAGCAATTGACATTCTGTTTATAAAACTTTCCTTTGCCTCTTATTCAAAAAAGATAATTTCCAGGAAGCTAGATCATTGATCAGTGAAGATTTCAGAACTTAAGGCTATTTACAGAGATAATCCTAACGGTACAACTATGACTTTTGCTTTAATTATAATCACCACAATCCCTATGTTAATAAGTACTTATAGCTTACTGCTTTCAACATTATCTGAGTATTCCAACAATCTCTTATGAAAGACATTAAAATTAAAAATAGTTTTTTCAGGGGCACCTGGGTGGCACAGTCAGTTAAGCATCCAACTCTTGGTTTCAGCTCAGGTCGTGCTCTCAGGGTCATGGGATCAAGCCCTAAGTCGGGCTCTGTGCTCAGCATGGAGTCAGCTTGGGATTCTCTCGCTCTCTCCCTCTACCCTTTGCCCCTCTCCCACCACCACCCCCTCTCTCTAATAAATAAGTCTTTTAAAAAAAAAGTTTTTTCATTCTCCAAAAAACAAAATACAGGAAAACAAAAACCAAAACACACAACTCTTACTAACCAGAAATAAACATTATAAATGATTTGGTATACATACTTCCTAATCTTTCCATTATGTTATAGTTTTAATTAAAATGGCATCCTATTATACATGTAATTTTGTAGCTTGTTTTTCCCTCCTTGTTGTTATATCAGGATCTGTCCTTGTAACTAAATATTTACCCACAGCATATTTAATGGATTAAAAGCATTCATTCTATAAATTATAGCACAGATTTTTTTTTTTTAAAGATTTTATTTATTTAGTCGACAGAGAGAGAGAGATAGCGAGAGTGGGAACACAAGCTGAGCAGGGAGCCCGCTGAGCAGGGAGCCCAATGCGGGGCTCCATCCCAGGACTCCGGGATCACTGACCCGAGCCGAAGGCAGATGCTTAACAACAGAGCCACCCCAGGCGCCCCAAATTATAGCACAGATTTAAAAAATTCAATCCATTAAGACTATTCCACAGAAAAGGTGAGTCTCAGAGAGGTGAAGTCATACCATAGGGTGAGATCTATGAACGAAAACTTTAGCCTTCCGAATTCTAATGGAATATTCTACCTACAATAGTTTCAAAAAAAAAAAAAACAACCTGAAACATACCCAAGAGGACAAAAACAACCATTAGACTGAATAAAGTTTGATACATACCTAACCACATCCGAATGATGCTCATGTAGTCTTTGTTCTTGGCAGAGAGAAGCTTGTCATAGGAAGGGCAGCCTGCCAGAAGGATGCGGTCATGGTCCTCACACATGGATATCAGGTGTTGCTCTGCACTTCGGGTGCAGCATACATGATAATGAGCCAGTTTTGTTATGGCATGTCTGATAGAATCATCAATGGTCCCACTGACTTCCCCACCCTCAATGTGAAGGATTCGGATATTCATCAAGGCAGCAGATGTAGCCAGAGCCAGGGCATCAAACCTGTCTCCATGAACAATCATGATATCAGGCTTCAAGCGATTAAGGACATCTGGTAGCTTCACTAGGGCCAAGCCCACTGATTCTACCATGGCTGCCTCATCTTCCCCTCTAACAATTGTGTGTAGCCTGGTGTTAATGTCAAAGTCATCTTGTTCAATCATGCGGTACGTGTTCCTAGAGCAGAAGAGAAATAAAGATATGAGAGAATGTTCTTCAACACAGGGCCATAAAAACATATGAAAAAAGCAATCTAACATCAACCCTGAAGGGAGAAATATTTTCTAAAATCTACTCGTTAAAATAGACAAACTGAAGTATAACTTACAAAAACTGAAAAGCAAAGATCGTAAGTGTACAGATCGCTTGATTATTTTACATGAATACCCCTGTGGCCACTGCCCAGATCAAGATGTACCACATTCAGCACCTGCAGAGTCTCACTAGTGCCCTGGTCAATACCTGGATAGAGAAACACCTGAAGGAGAATTTTTTTTTATTAAAACAGAGACCAAAGTTTTTGGTGGTTGACTTTTTTACACATTTTTTAAAAAGAAATATGCTACCTAATTAAAAAAACTTACTTATAAAAGCAAAGTGCTTTTTTTAATACAAAAAAAAAGGAAATGAGGATACCTGACATGTCACTATAATATAAATTTCTGAACGATGGAAATTATCTTCTGAATTTGTACTGTACCATTAATGCACCATAATTCTGAATGGGGTGTAACTGTAGATTTTACAGCATTAAATTGGCTATGAAGGGTGCCTGGGTGGCTCAATCAGTTTTAAGGGGCCAACTCTTGGTTTCGGCTCAGGTCAAGATCCAGGAGTCCTGGGAGTCTGGCTCCGCGCTCAGCAGGGAGTCTGCTCCCTCTCTCTCTGCCCCTCCCCCTGCACTCGCTCTCACATAATTTTTTTGTAATTAAAAAAATTTGGCTATGAAACACAATTTCAAGTCTGTTTCATGCTTCAATAACAGCAGCAATTCTCAATGCCTCAAGGTTTCCTATTATGAATAGATTTTAAAAGATACGGATTTTCCCCTAAATATATATATATATATATTTAGAACATATATAATGTAACTCTGTATTTTTATATTTTTAATTGGAAAATATAAAATTATCGTCCCTAAACCTACCACTCAGCAATACCAGTGTAAATCCTTTTTTCCTAGCCACTTTATGTACATTTTAACATGGTTGAGAACACAATTGTATCATCTATTTAATCCATTTCATACAATATTTTCCCAGATCATGAAAGATTCTTTACATACATCATTTTACATCATGTGGATGTTCTAGTAGTCATCTTATAGATTCCCTGGAATTTTCCTATAAAACTAACATGTTGTCTCTAAACAAAGACAATCTTTATGTCTTTTTGTCTACTTCTCACTTTATCACACTGGCTGTTATGTCCAGCACAAGTTGAAGTGGTGAAAGCAAAAATCCTTACCTTGTTCTCTACCTCAGGGGGAAAGCTTACTTTTATGTTAGCTATAGGTTTTCCCACCAATGGCCTTTATCAGATTGTGGATTTTCCCTTCTATTCCAAAGTCTGCTAAGAGTTGGGTGTTTTTTATTCATAACTGATTTAATTTTGTCAAATGCTTTTTTGACATCTGTTGAGATGATCATATGTGCTTCCCCTATATTCTGTTAATATGTGAGTAACACTGATTTTCAAATGTTATATCTATCTTGATTTTCCTGAGATCAACCCACTTGGTTATGATGTATTATCTGTTTTTTATATTGCTGGATGTGATTTAATTTTTTTTTATTTTATGTCTATGTTCATAAGGGATACCAGTCTGAATTTTTTTTCTTACAATGTCTTTGTCAGGTTTTATTATCAAGATTATGCTGACTTTTTTTTTAAGATTTTATTTGAGAGCAAGAGCAAGCACATGTGGGGGGAGGGGTAGAGGGAGAAGCAGACTCCCTGCTAAACAGGGAGCCCATCGTGGGGCTTGATCCCAGGACCCTGGGACCATGACCTGAGCCAAAGGCAGATGCTTAACCGACTGAGCCACCCAGGCGCCCCAAGATTATGCTGACTTCATATAACAATCTGGGAAAATTCCCTGCTCCTCTATTTTCTAAGAGTCTATGTAAGATTGGTGTTATTTCCAGACAAAGGGAAAAAAAGAGACAAACCAAGAAGCATACTTTTTTTTTTAAAGATTTATTTTAGAGAGAGAGACAAGAGAGAATTGGGGGAGGGGTAGCAGGAGAGGGAGAGAGAAACTCAAGCAGACTCTGCACTGAGTGTGGAGCCCGACATAGGACTCGACCTCATGACCCTGAGATCACAATCTGAGCCAAATCCAAGAGTGAGAAGCTTAACCAACTGTGCCACCCAGGCACCCCAAGAAGCAGACTCTTAACTGTAAAAAACAAACTGATGGTTAAGGGGGGTGGGAATAGGTCATGGGGAGTAAAGAGTATACTTATAACAAGCTCTGAGTAAAGAATTGTTGAATCACTATATTGTAAAACTAATATGATCCTGTATTTTAACTGTACAAGAATTAAACTTAAAAACTTAAGAAGATTCGGGCGCCTGGGTGGCTCAGTTGGTTAAGCGACTGCCTTCGGCTCAGGTCATGATCCTGGAGTCCCGGGATCGAGTCCCGCATCGGGCTCCCTGC